ACAGGGCTGCATACTCTCCCCTTATTTATTCAACCTATATGCAGAATATATATTAAGGGAAGCTGGATTGGAAGAAGATGAGCGTGGTTTTAAAACTGGAGGAAGAAACATCAATACCTGCGCTATACTGATTAAACTACCCTGATAGCCAAAAATGCAAAGGATCTGCAAGCCCTAGTACTAGAAGTCAAAGAGCACAGTGAAAAAATGGGATTAAAATTAAATATAAAGAAGACCAAAGTAATGACAACAGATAGAACAATCAGCTGTAGAATTGACAGTGTGGATACTGAAGTGGTAGATACTTCTGCTTTTCAACCATCACCAGCAAAGGAACAAGTAGTCAGGAAATACACTGCAGACTAGCACTTGGTAGATCAGCCATGAAGGCCTTGGAAAAGATACTCGAATGCCATGATGTGTCTATACCTACAAAGATTAGAATCATGCAAGCCATGGTATTCCCTGTGACACTCTATGGAAGCGAAAGTTGGACTTTAAAGAAGCAGGATAGGAAGAGTATTGTCGCTTTTGAACTTCAGTATTGGAGAAGGCTCCTGAGAATATCGTGGACAGCCAAGAAAACAAACTGATGGATCACTGAACAAATCAATCCAGAGTTCTCACCCGAGACACAAATGACCAGGCTCAAATTATCCTTCTTCAGACATATTATGCAAAAACCCAGCTCTCTGGAAAAGGCTCTAATGCTGGGAAAGTAGAAGGAAAGAGAAGAAGAGGATGACCAGCAGCAAGGTGGATAGACTCAGTTACAGTGGTGATGAGTGCACTGTTGGAAAACCTGAAAGACCAGGTTACAGATAGATTGCCTCAGAGAAAATCTATCTACTATATGTGGTTGCTAGTAGTCAAAAATGACTTAATGGCACATAATCAATCAATAACCAAAAGCCCCAGTATGTAGCCAGCAAACATTTAAAGGGGGGGGGGGCATTGTTACTTCTGCTACTTTCTAAACCCTTTGCTAAAACTGATAAAATTTATCTCCAAAATGTCCCAAGGTATGGATCCCAATTTCATCCCCAATAAAGCAGTGTAATGCTTCAGATTTAGTTCTAAAAAAACTGCTTCAGAAGGCACAGAAGTGCAAACATAGCAACTGTCTGCAACTTTTTAAAGCAGCTGCAACTTTTCATATGGCAGGTGCAGAAGACAGCCATATGAACCAAAAGATGAAGCTACTTTAATGAATTGTGGACAGTTGCTACAATTATATACCCATGTTCTCCCAAGAACTATTTCCAAATTATTTCCACAGTACGACAGAGCCCTAACCTCTAGTCCTGATACTTCCATCATTTTGGTTAATTGTTTTCCAACCTTATATAAATATTATAGTAGCATATGCACCTTTCTGATTCTACTGTTAATTCTTTCTGTTGTGTGTCACAAACTGCAATGTGTTTGTTGTTTTCAGCTCATTTTTGGCCATTATTTGTGCTGTTCTCTTCTCTCTCTCACTATGGTTCTCGTACTTTCCAGTATTTCTATGGCTTTGTTTCTCTACCGCTCTCTTCTTTTATTCATTCCTCAAGTGTCTTTTTATTCTATAAGCACCAGTTTTCTACCTAAAAATGAGAGATTTCACTCTTTATTCTGTCCCTGCAGGCAGCTCTTTATTCTAGATTGTGCTTTCATGTGTCTCTTCCTTATATTTCTATGCTACTCTCTCTTTCCAGGGCTAGTTTGAAGATATTTTGCAGTCTAATGCAAGAGAAGACAGGGTTACCCATCTAGCTGAGTGGGATGGCAGTTGAATTTTATTTCCAGCCCATCTAAAGGCAGCAAATAAATTTACAGAGAATAAGGTAAACCATGTATAGTACATACAGCTCATGTTCTCTGATGGAAGGTCCAGTATCTACTAGATACTGAGAATATCTTTGCCTGCCTGCCTGCCTGCCTATCGGTATCCAGTATCCAGTATCTGCTAGATACAAGAAAACCAGTTTGGTGTAGTGTTGGGATAACAATATAATAATAATAATAATAATAATAATAATAATAATAATAATAATAATAATAATAA